CTAATTTTGCTGTATAATACAAATCGTATAAGACAATTAATTAAAATCAAGATCTTAATCGCTACTCATAATTTAGGCAATATTTTAAAATTTAAAATTTGTACTAATCATACCATATAATAGATATCGTACCATATGATATACTCAAAATTTGATGAAATTAATCATATAATTAGAGGATCAAATTTGGGTTTATTTATCCAATCACATCATACTATACGATTAGACTAATTGTACTTTATGACCCAATCTTTGCATGGGACAATATTTATATATCATCAATCGTATGTTACGAAAATCTAATTCGATTGAATTAATCATACTAGATGATGCATTATATCGTATTGAACAATTAGCTCAAATACTTGAACTGATTGTACAACACCTTACTATTCATATAGTACTAACATGTCTATTTGAACTAATTGTAATATACGATTGTGGATTGTATTGTACGATCAATGTAAATATAATTGAATTATTAAGGCTTTTTGTCATGCCTTATATTTAAGCTCTATTAATAGACTTGTTTCAAGTCTTTTGCTGTTGGGTTTTCTATGTTACAAACATATTTTTTGGATTATGATTTTGATGATAGCAAATAAATCTTGTTTCAAAACAACTGCCTTTTTCTACTGACTTTTCAGGACTCAAAGATCGGACGGAAATCGAAATCAGTTCAAGACTGGGTAGATTAAGGTTGAGTCAGTCTGTAATTTTCTTTTTTCTTTCTTGAGTCAATTGTAATTGCTTGAAGTGATTGATGTTAAGTAACCCTACACACACACTTGAGAGATTTAGAACTTGTGTTTTTACTCACATCGTCACGGACGATATTTATATCGTCTTGGACGATCGAGCTCAAAATAAAAGATCTAATCAGGATTTTTTTGTTAAGGCAGCCGTAATTAACTGATCGGCCTGGACGATACCTGTATCGGCCAGGATGATATTCTCAATACAGAAAAAAATTGCCGCCATGATCAATTTAGGTACTCTGTATTTTTGGAAATCGGCCAGGATGAGCATGAGATCGGCCTGGAAGATATCACACAATTATGCCTAAATTGATCCAGGAATCAAGGAAGTAATTAAGGATGATTGATACTATCACATCGTCCTAGACGATTGCAGGATCGGCCAGGACGATAAATTCAAAAACTCTTAGTTGCTTCTGGACGATAAATATCGGTCAGCACAAATTCAGGGCGATGCTCTGGATGATTTTCCTTTGATTTGAACTGATCGGTCGGGATGATCATGATATCGTCCGGGACAATTAAACAAATTTTCAATTGTCCAGATTTCATTTAGGGCGATGCTCTGGTCGATCTTATGAGATTTATACTGATCGGCCAGGACGATTTCTATATCGTCCTCGACGATAAAGTCGGCAACTTGCAATTAATGAGCTCCTTTGAAGGTCGTCTATTTAAGAGCTCTTGTTCAACATTTTTGAACATCCTTGGTTGCTATCTTGACCTGAGAAAACCTAAAGGAGAGAGAGAGAGGGGGAGAGAGAGAGAGGATCTTGTGAGGGGGAGCTTGTGAGGGAGTTCACAAGGGTTGCTCCAAGCATTGTTCCACTTCTTCTTCCCTATAGTCTCTTGTTCTTGGAAGGGTTGGGAGAGGTAAGTTTCAGCAAGTGATCGTAATTCTCTGTCTTCTTTAGGAGGAAGTAAAAGGAGTTGGGTTCTTTGCTTTGTCGGGTGTGGCAAAAAGGAGGTGTTTTTATAAGGGCTTCTCCGCCTAATTGTGGGGGCTAAAGGAGAGTCACGCTGGTAGTGCAATACTCGGAGGGCGCCTCTGGGGAGTGAACGTAGGTCAAGTTGACCGAACCACTATGAACTCTTGTGTTCTTTTTAGTGCTTCCGCACTTTAATTTTTCTGCACTTTTTTTTCGTGGTTATTTTGGTTTGTGATATTTGTTATCTTGGTTTTAAAATTTTTTTAAATACCAATTCACCCCCCCCTCTTGGTTAGCCTCGGGACTAGTTCATAGGGCCTAACATCCCTAACGAACTTTCAAGTGTTATCAGAGCGGGATTCATAAAAACAAAGTTTGAAAACTTTTTGAATTTTGATCCGTGGCTAACTTTGGGAATCATAATACAACTGAAGGATATTATATTACACGGCCTCCCTTATTTGACAACCTTCCTTTTAATTTTTGGAAAACTCGCATGTTTACTTTTTTGCAATCAACTGACTATCGTATGTAGATGCTTATTAAAGAAGGATATTCTCCACCTACTCATGAAGTTAACAGAATTAAAATTAAAGTTGCTTTTACTGAATGGACTACTGATGAAAGAGATTTAGCTCAATTGAATGCGAAGTGTTTGAACTGTTTTTTTTCTGCTTTAAAGTCTGAAGATTACATGCGTGTTTTTACTTGCTCTACTGGAAAAAAGATTTGGGATAAGTTGTGCATTACTTATGAAGGAACCAATGAAGTGAAACAATCTCGTTTGAATATTCTCTTGCATGACTACAAACCTTTTTCGTATGAAACCTTCTGAATCAATTTCTTATATGTATACACAGTTTACTCAAATTGTAACTTCTTTGCATGCCCTATGAAGAGAACTTTCAGACTATGAAAAAGTAAACAAAATCTTAAAATGCTTGTCTTCCTCTTTTGATGCTAAAATCACTGCTATAACTGAATCTAAGGATTTAAACATCTATTCGATTGATAACTTACTTGGCTCACTCATTGCTTACGAACAAGGGGTGAATTAAAGAAATTTGATGTAGGTGAGAAAAAGAAGGGAAAACAGTGGCACTGAAGGCGCACAAATCTGACTCTGATTCTTCCGGATCTGAGAGCGATGACATTGCCTTTATCATAAGGCAATGCAAAAACTTTCTAAGGAAGAAGCAAAAGCATCATCAAAATTAGAGAAAATATAAGGATAACAAATATTCTAAAAGATCTTCTGATGTTGTTTTCTTTGAATGCAGGAAGCCTGGACATGTCAGAGCGGATTGTCCTACACTTCAAGCTCACACAAGCAAAGAAAAGGGTGAGGAAAAACCCAAGCTCATGAAGGATAAAAAGAGACTTCAAAAGGTATTTTGGGCAGATTCAGCAACTGATTCATCGGAGACTGAACTGAACCTGAAGACGAAACAACAAATTTGTGCTTAATGGCAGAAGATCATATTGATCAAAGTGATGAAGAAGAGGTATGTAAACCAACTTATGATCAATTATTCAAAATTTATGAGAAAATTCATGCATCATATAAAAAACTTAAGAAAACTCATGCTAGTTTGAAGTTGAAACTTCTAAATTTACAAAAAGAGCATGAAATTATTCTCAAAGATCATTCTACAATTGATTCAAATCATATGGCTCTACTTGATGAATTTGATGATTTAAACAAATAGCATTCAGAATTAATTAATGAGCATGATGCATTAAAAGTTTCACACACCTCACTCAAATCTGATTTGAATAAATCTAAAGAAATAGAGCGCAACTTGAGGATTGATAATAATGCTTTGGAAGATACTAACTTGAGGCTTAATGATGAATTGGACTCAATTAAGAGAAATTGGATGACACCTACTTCTGATCTAAAGCCAAGACCTAAGAAGAGGCATTATAATCCAAACCATTTAAGAAATCTTTTTCCTGGTGTTAGATGCTTTCATGTGGCATACTAGGACACATCTCACACACTTGCACTGTTCACCGTAGTACAAATTGGGTGTGGAGACCAAAATTGCATAATTAACAACATATCACACATGCATTACATTCTACTTTTCATGAGGAGCTTACATGATATTATAATATCATGTGAGTAATATTAATTATATATTTAATATATAATACAATTAAAATTTTGGAATTATATTGTTAAAAAAAATATATGATATTTAAATTAATTTAATATTTAATTAAACTTTTCATATTAATTAAATTATTTAAATATGTTATTAGTTGAATCGTCCGATTCTAAAGAATCGGGATCGGTTGAACCGGCAGTTCAAACTGGTTTGATACTAGACTAGTTCTTCAGGAGGACCGAACTGGCCATAAGACCGGTTCACGATTGAACCAGTCGAACCTGCCCGTCCGGTCCGATTTTCAAAACAATAATCATCACCAATATTTTAACTATTGATAAGTTTATTAGCTTTCACATTGGGTGATAGTATTGCTTGCTTTTAAGTTATCAAAAATTTAAAAGTATAGTTTTGTATTTAAAGTAAAAAAACTACCAATTCATCACCCTCTTGGTGTGCCTAGGGATAGCTCACCAATGATTAACATCCTACATCGAACTTTCAACATCCATTACACAAGCTTTGATATCAATAGGTTAAGATGATATTGGGGAGTGGATAGCTCGCTTTCGAATGTTCTCATCTTGGTGGAGGGTTATTAATTATATTTTAAAATAGTAGGAATCTTCTTGTTTGACATAAAAATTTATATATATTTCTTCAAATAATAAATAATAGAGAACTTTGAATAATTATGATTATTATAAATGTAAGAAATACAAAATTTTATTAACATGTTGTTCATCTTGATGTGTTAGTTGAGAGCATACATATAATCTATATGTAAATTTATTTTAATTCATCTAAATGGGAAAAAAAAAAAATCATCAAGAGATCAGCACCAGCATTATATATTGGTCGTCGCCTTCAAGCGGCGCGGGTTTGCCCACCAGTGGCCGCGCCTTAGGGCATCTCCAACCGAAAACTTCATTTTTCACGGCAAAGTAACGCAAAACTCCAAAATGGCGCGGTGATGCTACAATCGAACGCCATTTTAGGTGTTTTTGAGAAGGTAACGATCGCCCTCCCTTTCGCGCGTTTTTCCGGTTGAGAGCAAAAAATGGCGTGAGTGAACAGTGCGACGTCAATATTGGGGTCGCACTGTCCATCCGCGATCAAATGGGGTAAAAAATGATGATCGGTTGGAGCAAAATAAGAACGCAAACAAGTGTTTGCCGTTCGGTTGGAGATGCCCTTAAACGCTTTATTCGCAATATCTGTTGTGCTGTCACGCTCTTGTTTCAGTCATCGAGGCGTGGGTTGCTGGCAGTCCGAATGGCTGCTGCCAGCGCCGTAACTAGTTCTTCAATCTCCACCTCGCTCCGGCGCATCCGCCGAAACTCCAGTTTTAGGTTTTCAAAGGTCCTCCTCTCCGCTTCTCCAAGTTGTGGCTCGAGTCCTGAGCGCCCTCCAGAGGCCGTCAGAAGCAACTACACAGGGATTCGACTGGCTGAGACGGTCGAGCTTGGCTTTGAGAGGACTCGCGTCGACTCCTGGATCTCCTCGCGGATTCCGGGCATAAGTCGAGCTCGAGTGCAGTCCAGCATCCGCACCGGTCTCGTCACTGTCAACGGCCGCATTATAGATAAGGTGACGCGGGATCCCAATAACTGTTGTAATGCACGTTGCAATGCTTTATTTAGTTCAGAAACTCGAGAAATCTTTGGTGGGTAAAATGATCCTGATTTTTAATGTATGTAAATTCCCACCCCCCCTAAAAAGAACCAGTGATTAGTCTTGAGATTTGCAGCTTGATGATCCTGATTTGTTCCATCTGTAGTTTCCTTTTTTTTTGTGGATATGTTGAGATTTGTAATCCCTTCAATTTAGCAAGCCTCTAAAGCTTTCTAAATATGTACAGTTAACAAATTGATTGCTAAGATTACTTATTTATGATTGAAGACATTGCCTGGGCATCCTGCCTTCTTAATTTGGTTGGTTTATTTAAGTTCTTGAATAACTGTACGCTGCAGGTTTCACATATCCTAAAAGGAGGGGACAAAGTTAGTTGTGTGGTTTGCGAGTTGGAACCATTAAAGGCGGAACCAGAGGAGATTCCCTTGAATATAGTCTATGAAGATGAACATGTTCTTGTTGTAAATAAACCTGCTCATATGGTAATTTCATTTTTATAATTCTCTCATCAATTTTTGTGGATGTTATCTTTTTTGGAGCTGTTTCGTTTGGTATTAGATAGTTTTAAATCGGAATTCTAATCCAACAGTACTTGTTAATCTTAAGGATTATGTTAAAATTAGGAACATTAATATTTTTTTTTTCTAAAAGATCCAATACACATTTAATCAAGCGTTTTTTTTTTATTTTTTGATGAACTTGATCTAGATTAAAAGTACTCCTATTTAAGGATGATTACTAATATTATATTGGACTATTTTTTGGGGAATAGTGAGTGCCAAGTCACAAATTTGAAGTTGGCGGAATTCAAAACAAAGACCTTGACAACAAATTCCAAAATTTGTACTAAGTTAGCTAGCTTGTGTAATTCAAAACTTTAAATGAAATGGCATTTTGAGTTAAGTCTAAGAGCTTAAAATAAGATTAAGTTTAATCTTCACAAGAGTTTAGATTAGTATTAGGATGGATTAGTTGAAGTAAATGGGGTAATCTAGATTGTGCAATTCAGTGGGACGTTTTTATATTGTTTGGCAAGGTTAGTCTATAGATTCAGATTTATATGGATATAATGTTGAACCAAATTGCCACTTTCTTGTTTTGCTTAGACTATTTTATGGATTGATTATTTTCTTCTATCATTTACCTGTTTTATTGATCTGATGATTTGATTTTGATCAACTTTTTTTTTGTTTCACGGCTCTGTGCATTTTTTGTCAACTAATATATATCCATAGCTGTTTTAATCACATGCCCATCTATCATGTAGCTTGCAATCTGTACCTTGCCATTATGATTTTTTTTGGTAGTTTATGTCATTTCATTCCTATGTGGCATATACACCAATAATATAACTTCAGAGTGACAAGGAAGACAAGATAAAAAGAGCTAATTTTTCAAAGTTGAAAGGTTTTTCAATAACTTGGCATTTTGCTGGGCCATATCCGTAGGATGTGCCAATCACCACATCATGCATTAGGGTGTTTATCAGGATTGTTGATAAATATTTACTTTAGTCGAGATGCTACTCAGGCATGCATGTGTGAGGCAAATTAATTTTTTCACCTTGAATCTATTGTTTTTGCTAAATTTTGTTAAATCATTCATGGGAGCTGCATGCCTACCTTTATGCCTAGTGGCTACTGATTCAGATGCTATTCTTTGGGATGGGTTGGGAAAGTCATGGAAGGTTTGTGGATGGTTGTTTTGCGTAGAGTGTTGCAGCTCTTCTCCCATGAATGCCCCTAATTATGTATCATTCGACTTAGAAAAGTGCAGAATGATTGAACATTTTTCCAAAATTGAAGAATAATAGTCCAAATCTATATAGGAGAGTAATCCAGAGTACTTGCAAAGAGTTTGCTCTCTAAAGTCAAAATAAATTGGATCTTGATCTATGGCATAAGAACCACTGAGGATCAAGTGTCATGGATTTATATTACAAGAAATTTTTAGTTTTCTCTCCAACTTGGTTGAAGGGGCGAGTGAATTTACCATAAATCCTTTTACATTTGTTATGAATGCAAAATTTTAAATTTTAGTATGACAATGTGTCATTTATGCAAGTTACACTTTATGCATACGGGGTTCATGCGCAGGATTTGGGGAGGGATTGTTGCGAGTTAAGCTTTATAATTTCTAAAAATCCATGTAGTTTACCCTTTTGATAGAGAAAGAGAAATTTTATTGAATTTTAAAGAAAAAACTTTGTAGCTTTCCCTTCTATGAATAAGGATAATTTTTTGTCCTGTTCTTATAACTAAAAACTATTAGGATAGATTCCAAGGTACTTATGCCTAGTTTTTTTAGCAATTAAGGTGTCATTTCCCATCTTATAGTTCCACCCGAGCTTCAATAAACTCAAGCATTGTTTTACTTATATTGTAAACTTGAAATTTTTCTTGACTTTCCAAAATTTCAACTACTGATGATTAGATTGTTGCTGAACAGAGAATTTTGTTGCCTAGGATATATGTTTCAAATTAAGCATTGATGTGCTTGGGTTTTGAGGTATTTAGGCATCGATGCGTGAAAGCCATACATTAATGTCATGGGTTGCATATTGCAACCTAGCCAGATGTTGAAAATATTGATTTTACCCTAATATTGACACAATTGAAGGCTCGTTGTCATCTTTGCTAGAGAAAAAAAAGGTTTAGAGCCTTCTTGGTAGATTGTTGGAGAGGTAAGGACCATCTAAATAAACAAATGAGTGATAGGATACTGATGGTCAAGATTTTCTAATGTAATTAATAAGATGCTCATTATACATTCATACGAAGGAAAATTGAGGATTCACATATCACAAGGTACTAGTCAATTTAATTATTCATTCTCTCTAAATGAAAACATTCTATTGAAGTTTTTAAGTTCAATTGATAATAAAAAGAAGAATATTTGAGAATTTTTTAAAGAATTTTGAAACAGATAAAACTAGCAAGTAAAAAAGTTAATTTATTTAAAATTAGATTTTTGATGTATCACTTTTTGACCAAAATAAAAAATTTTAAACTAGCCAATAATATGTAAAGAAAATATATAAAAAATAGAATTATCTTATACAAGAAAAATAGGACTCAGACATGTACATTTAGATGTCTTCCCATGGAATCATGTAATCACACTTGTACTCTACTTAAAGGAATCAAACATTCAATTTGTACTCACAAGATTAAAACTAAAAAAAAAATGGAACATAAAAGTTATGGATTACATCCCTCAAAATACTATTTATTAATCCCTCATAGCCTAGGTTAGTATATAGAGCACAAAAACAATCAAGTTCAGTTCAACAAAATCTTTAAATTTCAATTTTGTATTCCTTAGATAGGTGCCATATCAGACTAGTCCACATACTAATCTAGAAATTCAAATAAGTCGCTAATAAATTAAAGCCAAGGCCGCATATACTTGCTTAATAAACTGCAAGTTGCGGTTGATCATAACAATGTAGGATCATAGAATCCTTTTTACATGGATCACTTGTAGGAGAAACCTTAGTAAACTCATATGCGCTCTGGTCTATAGAGCGGTTTGGGTAATGGCGGAAAGAGTGAAACTCAGCCTTTGATAGTTCTTGAGCTCATGAGCTCATGAAGCTTCTTCCATTGAGAGATCCTATTGTCGCCCTTTCTACAAGTAGGATTATGTTGACCATGATGATGAGTGGTGATATAGATGGTTCATATGTGAAACCACTTGATTTAGTTTAACTGCATCATCATCTAACATATGCTGTTGTATATTTTCATTAACATTGCTTCATTCTCTTGTGCTACATCAAAGACATGCGAGTAATGATAACAATGTTACAATTAAGTTAAAACAATCATATAAGCATGTTGATAGTGGATATATTTTATTTTATATTCATATCATATACTGTACCACAATCACCTACTATATGCTACATAGGAACATTCAATCATATGACTTTTCTCTTAGTTTGTTATTTAATAGACTTGCTGATCCTTTTTTGTTGCTTTTAATTTATTACACATTAAAGAAATTATTGAGTATAACACCGCCATTGCCAAGTCTCAAGCTCTGGTTGAGAAAAATGAAGGTTTATGTTAGGTAGTTGATAGATAGCATAAATTTTGTTTGAATTATCATGACATGAATCATTTAGTACATTGTATTAATGCTAGGGCATTCCCTGGAAGTGACATGTTGTATGACCTGAATATAGCCAGAAGTTTGCAAGGGCCGTTGCACCGACGCTAAGGTGCAGTGTTAATTAAGCAAAGCTCTCACATTATGGACGTATATGGACAAGAAAGCTAATCCACGAAACTATAACTATGATAGAAACTTGGAATATAGGTTCTCTTATAGGCAAATTCATGAAAATAATAAATATTATGATTCATGGGAGAATAAAATTCTATGCATTTAGAAAATTTAATGTGTTTAGGATTTAAATTATGGTATTCAGGTATGAGTCATATTAGAAATAATGTAGGTGACTAGGTGTAATTATAGATAAAAGATTGAAGGATAATATTGTTGAAATTAATATAATTGAAGATATAATTATAGTTTTAAAGATTACTATTGCTGCTAAGATTATTAATATTATAAGTATTTATGCTCCTCAAATGGATTTGAATATGCATTCAAAATTAAAATTTTAAAATGACTTAGAATAATTAATACAAAAGATACCTCTTGAAGAATAATTTTTATTGGAGGAGATTTAAATGGATATATTGATAGAGTGATAGAATATTTTAATAGTATTCATGATGGTTATGATTTGGATCGACTAATGAAGGTGGTATGATCATATTAGATTTTGTTTTAGCTTATAATTTTGTAATTGCTAATACGTTATTTAAGAAAAGTGTCAAATAGATATAGTAAAACTTAGGTTGATTATTTTTTTATATGAATAATTTATTATTTAGATTACAAAGATTTTAAAGTTATTTCGAGTGAAAGTTTATGTACTTGTTAATGCTTATTAGTTTTGGACTTTGATGAATGGGTGTAATATGAAAAGCAAATTCAAATATTATCTTAGGATTAGATATGGGCATTTGAAGAGCACTAATAAAAATAATTTTGAGAGTAAGATTCAAAATTTTAAGATTTTGACTATGCATGAGAAAACTAATATTATGTGGGAAAAAATAACTAGTAATATGTTAGACTTGAACTTGTCCATCTTGGACCGGTTCATGTCTATGCCCGCCGGTCCAAAGGGGGAGGCGGACAATAAAGGGGGGCGGCAGCATTGGTGGGCCCCATGATCTAAATTAAATAAGGTTTGGGAGGAAAAGTTTGAATGAGGGGCTATTTAGGGATTAATTAATTTTCCTTTTTCTTTAATTAGTCTTTCTTGTTAGGGTTTGGGATTATCTTGTATTTGAAATCAGATTTGGGATCTAGGGTTGTTTCTTTTGGGCTCTAAGCTTGGCTAGAGATTTGGAGAGCTGCTTCTTCCTCTTGAATTGAAGCGTTTGCTATTTTCCTGCATCTA